TTATTTTTGCACTACGTCTTGCACAGCAAGGATTTTGATGAATTTTTCATTTTAGACAAGTATATATGTGTTTAGGTAGCCCTAAAGTGCTATTTTTAAAAACTAAAAAGATAAAGTAATAAAGTTAACTTGCAAATATTTTGAATTTTAACCATTGACACAGCTTAAACAAATTAAATAAACTCACATCACGATCGTATTTGCCGTCTCGCAATACCACCGTAGTTGTTCCTCGTCGATTTACCTTTTAAGGGCTTCGTGTTGACAGCCACATTGACACTAATAACAGGTCGTATTATCTTGAATCTCTGCGTTTCCTTGAACACATGGCGGGAGTCAAGAGGTGTGTTGATACTATCTTAGATAAGCCCCCGAGGTCTCATGATCTTGGATGGTGTTTGTTTGGTTTTCTGGGGACTGTAAAAAATTGGAGTATCAAAAGGATTTCATGGTTTCAACTGTGTTGAGAAAATGTTATCATTGATTTTTTTTCTGAAAAACTTGAATATTTTTATCATACTACCTAATATAAGAAAATAAAGCATCAGTAAATATGGTATTACAAAATTTCAGTTTGACGTACCTACATATATCACAATTTTTTTTTAAGCGGGTAATATCATCGCTTGCCTATCCACTCGCCCTGGGTGGGGCGAGAGTGTCAGTCTCCTAATAAAAAACCACGCCGTTCTTTGATCTGCTCCCATCTCCGGCTTCATCATGGCATGGTCTGATGGCTGCCATGCGTACGCTCAGGTCTGGCTCTGACCGAGTGGCGACCTATTCTTTCTCGCCAACACATAGCTTAAGTCCTCATTTTTATCACTGGTTAGGTTTGTTTATAAGTTTTCAAACAATTGAAACAATTGAATTATTAAACGGAGTAATTTTCTCGAACGTACAAAGTACGAATCAATACAAATAACGATAAACTTCTCCACGCTAAAGTGCCAATTACAAAAGCTAAATTAATTTCGTGCCGAGAACTGTAGAGGCTGAAGTGTTTTCCTTAGAACCCTTGACTGTTGGAGACAGGTGAACGTTTAAATCGAAAGCTGACGGTACAAGTTTGTCCCAATAATGTTTACAGAATGTCTAAGGTAGCATGGATCAAATAGACATTGATAAATGCTAAAAACATCCGTTCAGGTACTGCATAATTGGTGCTATTATTTATTTATCATAATTATGAATGAATAAATCTTATTCATTTTATAAGTCTGTAGAACAAAGTTTTTTTTTAATAGATAAGTACTTGCTTTGCCTATGATAAAATCGTCATATCATCTCGAAAAAAGACAAGTTTAAAACTGAAACTGGTACCTACATGCAAAGAAATGGCACTGTCAAAAAGGTATTGTTTGCCTAGAACCGAGTTAATGATTCAATGATGAAACAGAAAAAGATCTATGTTAACCCGCCTTACATAAAAGCCTTTTGTTTCTAGGCCATGGCTTCACGCAGCCCTTTACGAGGGCACATGTCTTCATTTAAACCTAACGACTTATGTAGTATCTACCTATGTTGTGGGGCCATGCAAATATGTGCCCTACATACTGGAGCTACAGGTTGTGTAGAAACAGTTGTCTTGTTGTCAAGGACGCTAGGTTGGGCGGACTACAATACTAACCCAAATATTCTCTGTTTGTTGTACGTGATGCAACGCTAGTCGAATAGTGGCGATGGCCCGAGAAGGACAAAAAATGGTTGAGCTACTTTTTGTATCCATCCATTAGGAGTAGTACAATCGAGAGTAAAAATATAGGTAAGTAGGTACGTAAAAAATATTTAAATGTATACGACGAAAAAAGGAAGACTGACGAAAATAAAAATGACGAAGGCACTGCATAAAGGGTAAAGATGAAGGAGTGTTTTTTTTTACCTTGACCCCAGCATTTCTGAGAAGTGCACCTAAATCAAAAGCTTTGCTCAGTGCATACGGACAAACGTTTTTATGTACGATCAAATTTAATTCATTTAAATAAAAAATAAACAGAGTTCTATCCAAGGCACCGACTATGTTTTTGTGCAATTGTTGATTCATCTCTCCCCATACCGTTTTCGTTTTCCGTTAACTCTGATCGGTATCCAAATCCATCTTGGTAAGGAATTTTGCGATAAGTAATGTTCAATCGATGGTTTACTTTGATACTATTGTTGTTTCAACTTCAGATAACTTGACAGCGCCTCGTGAATAATGTGGCGGGTTAGCAAACAAGTCTTTATAATTAGTTGAATAAATTTGTTTGAGCAAGTTAGTTAGTGAGGGCTAATTAGTTCTGGCGATAATGTCTTCATAGGTCAGGTCAATTAAAGTGGCTCCATCGTTTTACTGGCCCGCGAATCTGTAAAGCAAGGTATATTTGTATCTGTATTTGTTTGAAAACAACATGAAAGGACGCGGTTTGTGTTTTTCATCAAAAAGCCAACTTTAATGCCCAAAATGTGCTTACTCTCATCGGTTGTCTTTGAACAATTTCGATCGAATCATGATAAAGAAATCAATAACTTTTTATTACTAAAACCAGCAAGACACAAACAATTTCAAGATTTTTCATGACCTACATTTAAGGTTCATAATAAGTATTATGTCCCATGTGTCGCCGTGTCTTAAGGCATAGGCCTCCAGCTGCTTCTCTGTGCTCCTGCTTACTAGTTTGGTCTCCTTGTCTAGAGAATCATATAGGTCACATATCCATCCATCGCTTCTTCTCGTCATAAGGAAAACCTTAATGTCACGTCATAAGTGTGACGCCCGTCAGAGGCAAACCTGTGCAATTGCGCTTATAATTAACCGATAACTGATGGTGATTAAACAAAATCTAAATTCCTCAGTTTCTTAGCAAGATTGAATTAATTTGTACTATGCGGGTTAATAACTTACTTGCTTTATTAATTAGTGCAGCTGCGTCGCTCTATGGTGGGCCGATTGCGGCTCACTGCGACAATTATCGCAGATAAATTGTTGTGAAGTTAACTTGTATACTTTGGGCTTTTATAAACTTGGGTGTGGAGGAATGTTGGTGTTGGTTGACAGTATTCGCGTAATTAAAGTAATTTAAGGAGTGTTCCAGTACTTATTTGTTACAAGCAAAAGAAATAGCAAACAAGCATTTACTTTATTATTAGATCAAAATTGTCTGCGAATGTTGTGCTTAGAATGACTGTTCGCGCCGCGCTAGTTTGTTGCCTACTACAAATTCACGTTTCCTTACATAGCAAAACAGTTTTAATTGCAATATCATTTAAGATACTAAGTTAACGCTCATTCAATTTATTTATACTTAATCATTTTACTAGCTTTCTATCCCTTACCTACCATCAATAGAATACCGCATAAAGTACCAAGGTTTATGAATGAACATAAAATTGATGAAGTTCTCCCATTACATCAATAGATACTTATTGTTGTATATCGAAGAAAGTAGTAAGCGAGAACCAATGGTTATTGTAAATGTTCCGCTAAATGTCACAGGTTATGCAACCAAAACAACTTTGTGGCTATGAGATGAGCAATCGGAATATTGGGGAGTTATTTTGCAAAGATGCTAAAAATATGTCCATCTTATAGGATCGAAATGGTGCATATATAGTGCATAAGCCTCTAGGTTAGTCCAGGTTTGCTTTTTAGATTTAAAATTACCACAAGAATTTAGAAAAAAATTAAGAAAAAGCTTTGTACGTATGCCATTTTGAATGCTAAATCGTTTTAATTCTAAAACGAATTTTCTTCACAACTACTTCAGAACCTACTTACTGTATTTAAAACCAAATGGAAGAAGAAAGTCTTGATTAATTTAAACTGTTATTTAAATTAAATAAAAAGTGCATCAGTGTTATTATTAGCTATTGTTCAGAGTTATTGCCCCGCCATTATTGGCGCCAAACCCAATCGATCTATTCATTGAGTCGTAATTAGAGCAGTTCCCAGGATTATCGGCGAACATATCACGGTCTTTGCTAGTGTTAACTGGTTAACCAGGCGTTATACTCGAGTTTGCGTGGGATTTGTATTGACTTTTACTTTTCTGTTTGTTTCTTCCAATGAAATAGTATTTGGAATGTTCTAGAATGTATTTTCGCACACTTTGAGTAAGACTTTAGTGCCTGTAGCTAAAATAAGCTGGCTTACATACGATTATTCGTAGATAATGATGAGAGAAAAATGATTTTCCGCTGACCTTTATTCATCTAATACAAATAGGTAAGCACTTATTAAAAGCTTTCGTTTATCTCATTTATAATGCCAGGATTTGAGCAATTTAGTTCGTTATGGATTCCTTTGTGCTATAAAAAGGGTCGATGATCAGCCACTAATTTACTAGTCAGTTTAGCAGCTAATTGTTATTCTGTGAATGCATCCAGTCGTTATTATCATTTCAAACATAAGTTATTGATAGTCATAGAGAAATTCCATTAAAAGTTTATTTACAACGATCTATATTCGATGACTGACGACACAGCTAATAACGCGTCACCTTAACTAACTATAGAAAGTAGGGACCCCTTACTAACGAGCATAGGAGTCATCTTCAATTCATTGCTGTTTCTGAATTGATTATAAACATCTTTCCTCTTTGCTACACAGCAATGTTCATTACACAAGTCGTTAGTTTCGATTAGTGTCTCAGTGTTTAGTGCTGGTATTCTCTAGTACGTCTTAGCTTGGAATAACCTTAAGGCAAAATTAATAAAACACTTAAAAGGGATGTCCTGAAATACTCTAGCATCTGGCAAGATGCCAGAGCTTCGGTCATCTCTTATATTAGAGTGAAAACGGTGGTAAATTTAACACCTTATGGCATGTTTTATGCAGTTTATATGCGGCTTGCTTATTACCATCTTTTTGGTGAAAAATTATGTAACATTAAAAAAAAAACTGTTTAATCTCTTTGATGTTTAATTAAAAGTTTATTTATCGCTTGTTAAACTTGTGATTTGGTCACGTGTTTTCGTTTGGTTCAAATTATACGTCTAATATTTGATTGTTTTCTTTTCAGGTACCTACAACCAGTCCTGTAAAATGTAATGCTGACTGCCATTATTAGGTATGTACTACTTCATTGCTTTTATATATGACGTGTAGAAACTTGCCATTTTTTCTTATGGGATAAGTAAAAAAATGGTGCCTGTAAAGAACCTTACAATGATTCTATCATTTTTGTTTAATTCGTATCTGTATCTAGTACGTTCGTCAACATTTATACTTATACTTATTATTTAGTATTCATATTATTCCGCTTTTCATTCACGTTCAATGTTTTTGTAATGCCCCAATTTCCCAGATTTTCCATCAAGTGTCAGCCCTATAATGGAACAATGAAGTCATCTAGGGCCAAAAGGCCATGGTTCAGTGGGTTCTCGGTCGGGGTCCGATTGGGCCTCATTTTACGGTCTGTTCAGCTCGACTCAACGTTACCTCAGATACACTTTCGTATTATTATCGCGATTACACTGTTAAATGACTGGCTGCAGTGGGAATTTATTTTTAAAGCAAGATTGTTTGTTTAATCTGTGGTAGGCAGTATACGCCTTGCATTTGTTGCTTCTTTATTTGAATGGATTTACTGTCAAAATAGTTGTTTACTTTTCTTTAATTGTAGTTTATTATCTTTACTTTTGAAGTCATTTTTATAAACCTAATTGCATTCAAGAGTTTCAAGTTACCTTTGGTGGAAGTGATAATTATTACTGAGCATCACTTTACCCACATTTGAGCTCAATTTTAAGTTCAAAGCGTCCAAAATGGAGAACTTTAGTAGCAAACGACATAGAAAAGCTTTTAAAGTCTTGTTTATGTGTGCTAAAACCAGCCATTACTCGTTTAATGGAGACAAAAATAAGAGCTTCGAAGAAAATCTTGAAGATGTAAAGTTGGTTTGATTATACTCTGTGAAATTCGTCAAGCTAACGACAACCATAAAATGCTTCAATCCATTAAATTGAAATAATAATGACTTACTGAGAAAAACGTAATAGAAACAATAACTTTTGTTTTTGCAAGGCTACTTAGTAGGTTATGTTCTTCCTTTTTTCACCAAAAAATATATAATTACGTACTCGTAATTACTAAAAACCATCTAAAAGTATTGTCTTCTTTATACGTATTTATTCAAATAAAGTTTTAAAACATGGCAGCGATTAAAAGCCCGCCAATATTTTCAAACGTCAAACGTGCACAGATTATATATAAGGTCCATGAATTAAAGAATTAATGGAAGCGAGCAATCGGTTGCTAGGAGGACAATACCGATGGCCTTGTAAGACTATTTGAGACGGTTCACCGACCCTCGTTCCAAATAAAGATTAAATTCCAACCGCTTAGCGTAAAGATGGATTAAGTGTAGAATAACTTGTGAGTTTCATTTTCTAATGGCTTACTTTTATTGCATTTTTTGTTATCTTAAGATTATGACTAAAAAATATAAATATCCTTGCTGAATTCCTCAGTTAATTAGTAGCAGTAGTCTGTTCGAATAGCATTGTAAGTATAATGTGATGATAAGCGAATGTGACAATACGCACCAGAATGCCTCTTCAGGCAATAAAATGCTCGAAATTTTGTCTACTTATTGTTATAATACTCAAGGAGGTAGTATAGTTACATGACAATAAAAATAGTAAAAAGCACATCTTAATATGGCAAGTTGACATTAAGTACCTACTTGTAAAATTAAGGCAAGCCTCAAAGGCCATTTGTCCAGTCTATAAAAAGGCGTTTTTAAAACAATGGTACGGACAGAACAATTGAAATAAATAATTCTCGGCAGCTGTCGTTCCACTAGAGTAGTTAGCTACTTAGACGAGATAGTTTCTATTTTAACAACATTTAAATTCATAACGCACCATGAATTTTCATCTTGGATAGAAGTGTAGGTACCCATGATAGGGGAATGACGCACTTTATACCCACTAGGTATAGATTTTTTAACGGTTCTAGGTAGGCAAACGAACCAGATCAATCAATGTCACTAAATGTCTATAACCACGCGAGTTACTGGTGAATTGCCGCCTTTTTGAGGGCTGTTAGGGATTTGAGAATTGGGGGGTTGCGAAAGAGAATGTAAAAGACAAGGCCTTCGATAACATCACTCACACGAGGAAGCACATTTCTCGCTGGTTTTCCGTAAGGCCGTGGTATCACTCCGGTCAAGCCGGACCATTCGCCCTGAAGCATGGCTTTACGAAACTTAACATTGGTCATTCTTCAGAAGTGGACGAATTTTGTCTGGTGATGATCAAAAGTTCAGTACACCAAACTCTTTCTCACTGAAAATATTAAACTGCAAGATTGCAAGATAGCGATATTAAAATACTACAATCAACACTAAAACGGTAAGCAAAGTAACCATAGGTAGGTGAGACCTCTTCTTACATGTTCCTACAACTTCATACAAGCCAGTCGAGCATACAAAGAGCAATTACATTGCCTACCGGTTATCCAAACCCAACGATGAATATGGATCGTCCGCTTCCGAAACGTAGGTGTCTGATTATGATGTAACCAGAGCTCAAGACGCCATAGACAATGCCAAGATAGATGTGCCAGTTTTTTCACGTTCTTGGTACCTAATAATTAGAATGTGGTGGTGATTGTGCTTGATAATAAATAACATTACAGTATTTGTGACATGAGTTCAATAATTGTAACGTTTTTGAAACATTTCGTGCTAGTGTTTTCATATAGTTTTAATTCGTGGTGTTCCATGTAAACTTTAACCACACAAACCCTATGCATAAGGTACTCACAGAGGTCGTGCAAACGTACCTACTCACATAATAACCATCTGCGTTGTACAGTAGCAACAACTTCTAATTAACAGCTAGCGTGCTTGCTGTAAGCTATTTAGGAGATAGGCACACGTCAATTACTGTAAGTTGTGTCGTTAATCTAAAATTAAAAGTAGACAGTTAATTACAACAGCTCATGCTATGGGAATTCCTCAGTTCTTCACTGTAAGTTTTCTATAAGATGAGATCTTTGACACCACTTAAAGCCAAGTGTTAAGAATGACAGTTCATTAACCTGTCACCTGTCACCTTCGTGCAAATAAACTAGCAGTTGACATTTACAATTCCAAGATGGCGAACAGCTGATGAATTCTGTCACTGTTTACTCGGAATTCAGCCTCATTTCTGTCAGACAGGACCATTACTCAAAACGAACGAAGAATGATGAAAGGTTTTTTCTTAAGTAGGTAGGTACCTAGTTATTGGGTATTAATTTATCATGTATTCAACTTGTTATCATTAAACATATTTATGAATGATGACTTTGTACAACAATTTAGTACAATTACCAGTAAAAAAGTTATTGTACTAAAGAAATGTCGCGTCTACATACTTTTACCTGTGCTGCATCTTCGTGCATCGACAATGTTGAACAACGCATTCATATGTGTGGGTGAGCCTGTGTTCGACTTCAACTGGCTATGCAACTGTCATCTTCAGTAGGCGATGATTGTCATTATAGACTCTTCCGTCGAAAGGTACCATGTAAAACGTTTTTAGTACGTTGTGTATTCATTGTTATTGTATCGAACTTACTACTATCATCGAAATTTGATGTGTATACAGTTAAAAAGTCGAGAAAGTATAATAAATGGGTTCTCGTTGTTGATATATAACTGATGTGTGAAATTGTTTACTGAATTAATGGATAGGTGTCGAGTTGTCGACGTAACATTTCTTTTTCTTTTTTTCTTCACACTGCCAGCTTTTTAAACACGCTTGAAAGCTAACTGTCACTTCAATCGTCTGTGTGCGGAAAAAGTAATGTAGTTAGTGTGATAACTTTATTTGCAGTTTTCGCTATAACCACGATCTATGTAAGTTCGGACCTAGTTTTTACGTCATTTTCAATCCAGAACATTAGCATTAACATTATATTATTTACGACTTTGCACGTGAGAATATCCGCGGAACATTTACGTAGAATTTAAATTAATGGCTTCTAAATTAAATTCTTACGTCATTTCTTCATAACTTGACGTTTGACGTCAAACGTGTTTTGATGATTTCAGGATGGAGTTATGTAAACGTTGCAGGTAATGAGATCAAAATGCTGGCATGTTTATGCAAAGCTGGCATTTGCTGCATCGTTAAATTGGGAAGATTTTCATATTAAGGTTTATTTAATGTCGTGGTGGTCCGGAGTTTAAGGTACCTCGCTCCTCATTCATGAGGGTGCAGTTTAGAAACCTGGCAATTGTACTTTCTATGATTGTTTAAACACCACTGAGATAGGGTGAAGGAAAAGATCGTAAGGGAACCTGAACTAAGAATTTCTAATTATAAGTTTGAAATCGCCAATCCGCCTTGAGCAACCCATGTGAGAAGATATGGCTTTTGCTTAGCAGTGGGCACTTATAGACTGATGATGTGTGATGTGCCTATTTATTATAAACAAGAATTATCTTGGCTTGCTAACTACTGTCTAACACCCGGTTTCTGAAAGGCTTGTCAACGCTAAAATTAACTAATCTCCTGTTAAATCTCTTGTCAAGTCATCTACTGACTAATCTGATTGGTTGTTGATAATTCAGTCAACTAATCAGATGACTTGACAAGAGATTAAATTGATTTTAACATTGATCGGCCTTTTGGAAACCGGGGGTAAGTCATGGAATCCTTACTTGTTAATAGATTGTGTAATAATTTATCTACTAGTTGCTGTTATCATCAATACCATCGTAGTTGGCAATTATTATGTGCCTCGTGTGCAGAAGTTAATGGTCTTATGATTTGCACTTTTAAGTATAAGTATGTTAAAGTTACCTATGAATTTAAATTATACGATCTAATTAATAAAAAAACTACGATAACGGCAATACCGTCACTATTTCCTTGAGAAAAACAGATAAACTTTGAATTGAATGTCTCCGTATAATAGCGATTTATGCTTCATTTGAACCTCTATTTGTTCCCTGGATCGTAACTAATGCGTATTTAATGCTCGTGTTTGGTCCGCATTCCTGGGTAATATTGCAGTAAGCGTCATTGATGGGATCCTTGAGGTTAAGCAAAATTGTACCTAGTGGCTACTGGT